TGTTGTTTTCTAATGTTTGGTATGACTAAGTCATGGTATGGTATGCTGTACATAATCACGGAAACTGTCAGTGTGTCATTCTGTCAGTCAGTCATTCTGTCTGTCCCACGTTTTTCTACTCACTGACGTGGTCAATCTATGTGAAACTGCACATAGAGGATTGGCATAGGTAGAAGGTGACAAAGCTACCAATGGCTATGGACTAGTAAATATATATATTATATATTCTTCACAGTAGAAATTCAGGATTTTAATCAGGCTCAGGCCAAAAACTGCTGCTGTGGGTCAGGCTCATGTTGGGCACAGAAACTGTGCAGGTTCATGGAAGGTCAGACCTCTACCCATGACAAGTTGAGAACAGAGCATCAATTAAATACTAAATCAAACAGACGGAAATTCAACCGTGCATTAAAACAACATAAAGGTGCTTTTTGACTTCCCTTTCTGCTCCTTTTACTGGTTAACCTGGAGTCCCTTCTTTGATTCTGCATCTCTTCCTATTGTGAATATTTGATTTACAAGTCTTGCTACAAACTGAATTTCCATTAGTGACAAGAGCCTTTAACTTGAACTTAAACCCAGTCTCACCCCTGTATTGGCTCAGTGTTGGTCCCATGCGATCACACAGATGAATGGGTGTTAGAGGACGCTCCAATCCAGCAACTGCTCATCGATTTGTAATTGTCTCCTCCAGGATGATTAAGGGAATCCAATACTGCTAACGGGTGTTCGACCCAGGTAAAGTAAACAAAATTTTTTCTGGTGCTTGGCCTGCTCTGGACTTAAAAGTAAACTATTGTGAGGAGACAAATCGTGCCACGACCCAAATGGCTCCAGGCTCACACTCCCTAAAATCAAAGTGGTGCAGACCCGTGAGCCCCTGTTGGAGGGATGCATTTCATTTTCAGAACGCTCAAGTGTGACGTTGAATGAAGAATCTGACTTTCTATTTTCACGCTGTTTGACTTGATGCATTCTAAAACAGGAGCCCAGAGGTGGCAAATATCCATTATTCAAAAGGTAAAAAGCATGATCACTAATTTGTGTCAAGCACTCTCATTATGTGACTCCTACAGAGGCTGCAAATGGCAGTGTGAGAGCAACTCTGACTGCCAGCACACCATCAAGAAGGATTCAGTCCTGGTCATACTCACTTTCCTCACATAGCAAACAACACAGGAACTGAGGGAAAGGTACCAACAACAGAGGCGACAAATTACAATGTTTCCCAGCTTTAGGAATCCAGGAACCATCAGCCAACAGGAAACTATAAAGACATTCCTCGGAGCACCCTGTAATTGACATGATCACTTAACTATAGTCACACCTTGTAACAGCTGCTGAGTGACTGTAAACGGATAGAGAGGGCTTATCTGCAACGCCGTAGGAAAGCCCAATAGAATGCAGCCTGCTTCACCTTCAGACTCTTCATAATTCCGAAATCACACTGAAATCAAAGAAGTGAGAAAGGCACAAAGCATCCAAACCCCCACACCTCCAGTCCAGTCTCTAGTTTTAATGATAAATAACAGTACATTTGATAATGAATATGTGTCCTCTGTTTTGATTTCCCAAAAGCTCAAGTGTGTCTGTTCACCACACAAACTATGGATACTGCACCACTGCATCTACCGTTAAGCCCAGTTCAGACCAAAGATTCATGACGAGACGAGATGAAACTTGCAATGAGCCGGTCTGCCATGTTCTTGAAACCTGCCAGTTTACATCAATGAGACTAGACGAGATGGTTTATCGTCTCTATATCAACAATTCTCCTCACTCTCTGTTCTGATTTTCAGCTTTTCAGGTTTATTTTGTAGCTGAACATAATTTGTAGCCTGTTAAAATATGAATGAGGATAGTGATAGTGAAAAACTTGCTACAGGTGCATTTCCAGCGACCCACCGTCTGACACAGACACACTGTGAGGACAGAGACTCACATTCAGAGTGAGACAGACTCAGACTAAATGGGGACGGAGGGCTGTTGTCAGCATCAGCAAGTGAACACGCCGTCTGCAGACAGACTTGGCCAGTGAACTTTGCTACAAGCTGATTGGCAGTTGAGATAGGTGACATGCCTTCAAACTAGCCACTGGCGACTTTACAAGCTGAGGCGCAGGTGACACCATCAGCCGGCTTGAGTTGAGCCGAGACCTGCCAGGTTATATCGCTGTAACTTTTCACTACAGCATTCTAAAACTGTTTTGTCTCATTGCGAATCTTTGGTCTTTAAACCCACACCTACTGTATCTTTCAGGTGTCGGCGGTCGCTGTTTACATCCTGTTTCCTACAAACAGTCTAAGTTGGTTTCTTTTTACCATGACCTAAATCTTTCCCGAACTTTTACCGAGATCAAACTTTATTCCTAATGAACAAAAGTCATGACTTTTGTCAGGGGTGTGGCCTCAAGTCACATGACCTAAAGGAGAGACCAATTTAAGTCACAAATCTGGTGACCTTAGACTCGACTTGACAAAATCAAGAAAGACTTGAAAATACTGTAAAGCAATTATTAGTTTCACTGCAACAATTCGACAATGGATATCATTTAAATCAATGCAACAGCAGCTAATCCTGTTGTGCCAGCAGGAGGGAAAGGCAGCTTTAGCAGCGCAGAGCACTGTTGCTGTGGTCAACAAAAAAACTGATGTCACATGCAAAACATTCAGCTTCAAAATGAAGAATAAATGTAACTGCATCACAGATCTAATACATCAAGACGCACCTGATAAATTTGCTTTAAAATCAAGAGGCAACCTGAGACCAACATGGAAGTGCCAAAAACTGCAGTTCTTTGAACGGCCACTTGAGGCTGGCTCCAGAAGCTCTAGTCAATCCTCATAGACCCCCATGTTAAAATCCCCAACTTTATAGCAGAAATAAACATGTTCACAGCCTGGTACAAAAAACAACTGTTTTGGTCTCTTTAGCCAATTTCCTCCTCCAATACAACTGAACAGGGACTGAATTTTTATATAACTCATCTGTACATGTCTTATTAAGGCTTAAAGTTACTCATACTTAATGGCGAGCTTTGAGTGACAGGCCGTCTGCTGGCAGTGTCCTCAGCTTCTTAGTCAGATGCACCCCTCACTCCTACACAGTGCCAGCCTCTCGCTCAATTATGGCCACTTCTAGCTCCAAAAAAAGAAGATGGCAACAGCAGAAAAGGCCAAACACAAGGCTTCAAACCAGGAGTACATGGCCCAATGGGTGACGTCACCGCAGCTACATTCATTATTTTTACTGTCGATGCTTTAAGTGTTATGAAGTCGATTTTAAAGTCATGAATAAACTTTTTAAATTCACAAAACTGTTTTGTGGTGAAGTGTGCAGAATGACTTGTTTAGAACTCAAAACACAAAGTGGGCATTGCTGGTCCTAATGTGCAACTTGATTTCAAAGCCACGATTTGAAACTTACTTGTAAAGTGCAAAACAAAAGCAACGTGGTCCTTGAAATAGGAGCGCCAGATAAGAAATCATCAAGGTCTTTTAGAAAATGAATGACAACCAACAGTTCATTGTTCAGTTTGAAGGACTTGTTGGATATATTGATGTAAGAGTCTTAAACAAATCTTATACAGATACAACAGCATGAGTGAAAACAAGACTTTCAACAGCAACTACTTCAAAACAGGAGAGATGAAAAACGTTTCAGTGCAAAAAAGATGCAACATCCTTCTACATGGAGATCAGGATCACCTCAATGTTCGGCATCTCGTGTTATCAAAACCACTCGAAAGTCTCGCTCTGTCAAGTAAATACCAAAAATTCAACTTTAATGCAAACAGCAGCTTTGGCAGTGTGGGCTTTATCTCATTTCAGGTAACAGCAGCTCCGGCAGATGAAAAGTGAGCTGAGAGAGAGAAAGTAGAGCTGAACAAAACGCCAGCGTTGGCGAATGACTTGGCTGCGCTCGAGGAAGACACAGCAGGTAGAACAAATACCCTTCTCTCTGCCAAATGCTGAATGCAGTATGGTCAGTGGGTACAAAGACTGAACAGGGAGGTAAGACGATAGCAGAGCGGTGATTGTGGTGAAAGAATAGGATTTCACAGCACACATTTGGAGGTTCGAGGGAGGTAAGGAAAACTGATTACAGTCTTTTCATCTCCCTTTTCCTCTTAGTTGTCGTCCCGCTTCATTTAAAAAATAAAAAATAAAAAATACCCCTTGGCATTCCGGCAGGGAGGTGGTAGTTCCAGTGGTGTGTGTTTGTGTGTGTGTTGGTAGGTGGGTGATAATTATTCTCACTTGACAGAATATCCCTTGAAACCGAAAACCCACCTTAAAAATTAGCCCATTACACGCACAATTTCACACTCACAAACAACCTAATCAGGTGTCTCCACGCACGCACGGTCTTCCCTCTCCAAACAGAAATGTACAAAGTCTACACACAAACACACAAACACACTCACACACTATCTAATCACCAAATCAAGAACAAACTTCTGTCCAGACTTTTAGTATTATGCCAAAATTACCATTAGAGGAAAGTGTTTGAAGCAGCATTGCCACTAAGGGCACACGGAATAAGCAATAATAGATACTTCCATGTTCAAGTTTTCTCCTGACAAAATTTCTGACCGCCTGATTAATTCACCTCTGTGCAGCCTGTATGGACGCAGATGCTGCACGGCGGCTGTGGTTAAGGAGACAGAACAGGTTGCAACTAATCAAAAGATCTGTGGTTCAATCCCTGGCTCCTCCAGTCAGCATGTCTGAGTATCCTTGAGCAAGATGCTGAACCCCAAAATGTGAATGTATTAGTCATAAGCAGGTGGCACTTCGCATGGTAGCCTCAGCCATCAGTGTACACATCAGTGAATGTGGCATGTAGTTTAGACGTGCTTTGAGTGGTCGGATGACTGGTTTGCAAATCAGCTCAAAAACTAGCTGACAGACATGACCAAACGGCAGAGCTACAGAAGCTCAGTGTTCCAGGTTCTGATTTTACTGAATAAAGAAAGAAATGAAACCTTGCACACTCACCTCTGCATGTCTGTGTGTAATCCAGGAAGCTGTGCGCAGGACATCCAGCTGTGCAGACTCCGTGCTGCAGGTGACTGGTCGATGGCAGGAGGGCTTCCTCTGGTTTCAGACAGCGGAGGCAGTCTGAGGCCAAGGGTCCCACACAGGACCGACAGGAGGGATGGCAATCTAAACAAAGGGGAGATGAAGGGTCATAAGTGCTGATTGACAGAGGTAGGAATTTGGTTTTGAAAAGCCTGGTCAGTTTTTATTTAAATAGTCTAAAATCACAAACTTTTTCAAGGGAAGACTCTCCGTCCTTTGACATGTCCTTTAAGAACCCGCCACAGTTCAGGGTGAGCACTCAAGATTAGTGTCACCAATTCAGTATCTGAGCAAATGTCTTCCCTTCTGTTTCTGAGATATCACATTCCCCCAATCCCAAATGGTGTCCCATTGGGATTGTTGGATTGAGTAATGGCCAGAAAAGTTATTTTTGCAGAAGATTATGATGTCACAGTGAAGCTGACCTTTGACCTTTTGGATATAAAATGTCATCACTTCATCATTTTATTCTACTAGACATCTATGTAAATTTTGTCAGAATTAGCACATTAATTATTGAGTTATGGCCAAAAACCTGTTTTGTGCGGTCACAGTGACCTTAGCCTTTAACCACCAAATTCTAATCAGTTCTTTTTTTTAAGTCCAAGTGAACATGTGTGCCAAATTTGAGATTTCCTAAAGGTGCTTTTGAGATATTGTGTTCACAAAATGAGACGGACGAGGTTACCATGACCTTGGACCATGAAATTCTAATCACTTCATCCCTGACTCAAAGTGGATGTTTATGCCAAATTTTAAGAAATTCCCTCAGGGCTTTCTTGAGATGTAATGTCATGCACATCAAAATGAAATAAATGCAAGGTCACAGTGACCTTGTGCCAAATTTGAAGAAATTCCCCCAAGGAGCGGAGGCATAAAATCTAGCTTTAAGCTCTTACTGTGGCAGGTGTTGTCTTGGGAGTAGAGTCCCTCCCCGCAGGCCTCCACACACTGTCCCTGGTGAAGAAGGAGCCCAGCTGGACACAAGGTACACTGGGATACAGAGGGACCCCAGCAGGAAGCGCAGGAGCTGTGGCAGGCTGAGGAGGAAAGGACAACAGTGGAACTGAACCAGAACTGTCTGCTTAGGAGTTTTAAATACTTTTTAATGCTGAAGATCTGGCCTACTGTACCTCTGCATCTGCTGTGGTTGTCCAGGTAATGCTGGCCTGGACACTGGGAAATGCATTTCCCATGATGCAAGGCGGTCCCCGGCAGACAGCTCATGCACTTGGGGTTGTCAGGGAAACAGGAGGCACAGGACGAATCGCAGGCTGTCAATCAAATAAATGTTAATGGCTTCTGGTCTGACTGATAAAATGCTTTGTGCTTAGGCAAAACCTCCCTGAGCAGAGTCTGTGAGAGTTACTGAGTGTCCTCCATGGAAGTTAGTCCAACTTTTTATTCTAACTGTCAGAAAGTAGGTGATTAGTTTTTGTTAAAGTGATAAAAACTCAAGTTAAATTACGTCCAGAGAGTGAAAGCTAACATAGCTGTATTCCCAATTTAGGCTGCATGTGTGTAAAGTTTCATACTGTCGTGACACTTTGACATGCACACATGCTCAAACACATCTTTGCTTCCATCTAAATAGAGGCTGAAATCTGTAAAAAGTGTTCCTACGGCATGCTGGAGGGGACAAGAAAGGAAAGCTATCAAATCTAACCCGGGGAGTCCTGCAGAGGAAAAGTGAGAAGTTAAAACCCTTCAGCTCTCTCCTGCAGTTGACATTTTAAAACACACCTCAAAGCACAAACTGGCAAGTTCTAATGGATCTGACCTTCTTCCAGAAAGTTCCCCAGGTTTGTGACATTTTCTAAAAAAGGGCTCCTCACTGAGTGCTTCAACTCGTCCACATAAGCTGGAGGAAAAGACGAGTCTCGATCTTCAACCCCTCAAGGTGGTTCTAACCAAAGAAAGAGCTTAGCTCTGTGCTGCTAAGTTCACCATCGCCCTGAGGGAAGCCTATTCTTGCTCTTCTTCGTCTTAACACTCAAAAATAGAAACCATCCATATTCATACAGGATCTCCTTATTCAACGAGCTTCTGAATCCTCATTAGTGCCAGAGAGAACTGCTAATTATTGTATCTTTTTAAATTGTTTGTTTGCGAACTCGGCTACTGCTGACTTCATCACTTTGGCACCTCGTGGAGTAGATGCTCTACAGGGATGCTAAAAAAACAAGCCCAAACAAACCCTCACCTCCAGTTGACCGCTAACAATAAACCTCTTATTGTCTCAGATCGTGTTTTCTGTTCACCTTCTCGGCACATTCTTTGACATCTAATTTGTCTGCTTAAATATCAGCTTTCACTCCTGGTGAAGTGAAGCTGCACAGTGAGCACATATCAGACGGATAATTGTTTATCAGTTGCTTTTTCCGCTTCAGCTTTTAGAATCATACACATGACATGTTCTGTAACTGCTTCTTTAAAGCTTTAGAAATTGTAAATCACTTTTTACACATTTTTCCACCAAAAAATCCAGCCTGACAATTTAAGGTTATTCGAACTCAAAAAACATCTTTGTTGTTTGGTGCTCTGTTCCCTTTTTTTGTGGATAAAAGCCAAAGCCGAAGCTTCTCACAAGGACTTGTGCCATTTTACCAATCTTATTTTCTGTTTCATAAGAATCACACAGTCCAATTACTGCACCAACAGCAGAAATAGACCAGGATGTCATGCGCGAACAATACAGGTCTTGTTTTCCGTGTGAATATGATGTGTTTATGTCCATTTTCTGGAAAATTCTGAGAAACATTTAGACAGCTAGTAATTAGAAAGGACAAAACAAGTTAAAGGAAAAGTTGCTCTACAAAAAGTTTTTGGTCGGGTTAGGTTATACCTTTTTAAACCTCAGCACAGTGATCCTCATCTTAAGCCCTTTTTAAACAGGAATTGTGCCAATTTGCAGGAAAGCCCAATCAGTCTTTTTTCAGCATCGGCAGTACGAAAACAAAATGCCGCCTACCTACCTTTTTCAGGGCAATGGGGGGCGTGAGCAAGTAACAAAACGTGTAGCTCAGCATGTGACGTGAACAGTGACGTGGGAGGGAAGCCGCGGCTGGTCAGTCCTTCGGTGATTCTCTTGTAAGTCAGCCCGTTCTTCACCGTCCCCGTCATCTGACGGTTAATGGCCTCTTCGTTTGCGAGGACAAGGAGGGCGCGCAATTCCTTGTCTCCCCAGTTGCTCATCTTTACAGTGTCTGTCAGGTTTGTGTTTCCCTCTTGCTACTAGCTGCACGCTAATTCCTGCTATCAGCTGTTTCCTGTTTATCCACCACCAGTGGCTCGCACGTGCAGCGTCATCAACAGCTCCTCCCTCAAGTCTTCAACAGCCCCTCCCGTTGTGGAAGGCCGCCTCGGTCTGTTTAAACTATTGGTTCTGCCAATATGTCTACCCTACGAGGCGGAAAATTAGGCACCTTGGATCAACTCGCCTTTCCGGCTCTGTGTGTCTAAACGCTCGCAGCTTGCCGGCGAAACGGCCCAACATTCACCGAAAATCTGGCAGCGTAAAAGGGGCTACAGAATGGACATGAGGATGAGCTACACTTATGTAGGCAGTGCCTCAGTCAAGCAGAATAACACGAGTATTCCACATATTCTTAAAATCCAATTACCATAAAAGAAAAATTGCTCCATCCATAACAGCATCAACAACTTTCTACAGTGCAGTATTGAAGTAGTCTATGTGTCAGCCTTACCGTAGCAAATGCCTTCTTGACTGTAGAAACCGGCACCACAGTCAGGAACACATTCCCCGTCTTTGAGCAAGGCAGCCGGGTTCGAACACGACACACACTCCTGCTGGCTCGGCCCGCGGCACTCTGAGCAGGACTCGTGACAGCCTGGTGGAAAGAGCAGAAAAGAGTTACTGTAGGTATCTATTTACCATATATCATCACCATAAAATGGTCTTAAATAGCCATACCATAATTTGTGTCTCAGCCAACTTTATGTTAAAGACAGTAATTTCCAAAGATCACTAATGTCTTTGTGAATTTTCAGTTGTTTTTTTCTATCTTTTGAAACAACCACCTACTTTAATTCTTCTTCCTACAGTATGGATATCATTATACTGTACATGATGCGTCAGTGTCACACTTTTCAAATGATCTGTAATTAAAACTCCATTACAGCACGACAACAATATCACTTTGACACTGACAAACGGAGACATGGCCACTGTGATGGAGTACTGAAAGTCAAGTACATTTTAAATCTCTGTCTGGATGCTCGGAAGAACAAATATCTTAACAACTACAATCTTGGTTTGAAAAAAAATCTTTGTGCCTTAACCCTTAATGCACTTTGAATTATAAGGAAACTTTTAAGGTTATAAAAGTACACTGAACAAGAAAGAGAAAATCAGGATTTTACAGCACATAAATTACAAACTAAAGGATTCAGAAGAGTGTGTGTGTGTGCGTGTGTGTGTGTGTGTGTGTGTGTGTGGTCTCCGTAGCTGCCATTACCAGTGGTATTTTATGAGCACCAGTGAAAACAGCTCTGACAACACTGACAACAGTGAAAACAAACTGTGTGAGCAGAGGGCTGGGGTGAGGTGAGCTATGTGGGGAGTGCATGTAAAAATTTAAGAGTGTGTCTGCTGTCTGAGTGTGTTTGTGTACAGTATGTGGTGTGTGTGTGTGTGTGTGTGTGTGTGTGTGTGTGTGTGTGACTGAGTGTGAGGGTGTGAGTGAGGAGACAAAGATACCCTGTTTCCACCAACTTGGTTCCCACAGCTAATATTGAACCACACAGAGCATTTCTTCCAAAACTAAATTATTTTGGAACCAAGAAACAGCAGATATTTCTTAACCTGGAGTGCAAACCAGGACAACATCAGTGTGTGTGTTATATTCCACATGTTGGAAAGAGAAGGAGGAGAAAGTAAAAAAGAGACTTAAGAAATCCTTGTAAACAAGAGCGTGCAGTGGTCTCATGAACATGCTTGTTTGTTTTTGGATAAAAACAAATATCTGCAATAACAGAACAAAAGTTTGCAGGTAATCAATGTGATCCACCATCTTGCTTTTGTTACGGCCTCTCTAAACAAATTAAGGCTCTACAAGAGCCAGAATATATAAAGGACGCCACAAACAGTTGTGCAGGGGAAAAATCAATACGTTTTATTATTAAACAAGAAGGAAATAATACTCACAACTTAATGAAGGAAACAAAAAGGGTTGGAGATATCAGCCGAGAGAAACATAAGATGGGAAACCACCCAGCTCATCCCCCTGAACTGCCTCAACCATGAGTCAGCAACCTTTACTACCAGAAGAGCAATTTTTGATCTAAAAAACCCAAAAAATTAAATCTGTTTGAAGCCGCAAAATATGTTTAAAGGTAACACAGCCTTATTAAGTCTAAATTAGCTTATCAACCTTACAAATCGGTCTAATCATTGATATGTTTTACCATTTGGTCGCTCCTGCACTAAGGTATATATGAGTATCTGGTACCTTGCAGCGATAGTAAACATATCTGTCTATGTGCTGTCAAATTCAATATTTTCCTCTAAGACTTTTCCCCTCTGGAATTGGAATCCACGGCTAGCTTCACTAAGGAGAGTCAAGACAAGCCACCACTCCTGATGTTTGAGGGAAAAGGTGAGAGGGTGTAGACTAGGGATACACTGATCCGATAGCGGGATTGAATATCAACCCCGATATCATCAAAATAGATGGATCGGGTATCGGAAAATGCACCTATACCTGAGGCAATCCTTTCCCTTTAAATCGATTGCAATGCGAGCTACGTCATACGTCATGGAGCGAAGGAGAGAATCTGCTGTGTGGAGGTATTTCACACTATTTCAACTGCTGTTGCTCAATTGTTTATTTTTGTTAAAAATAAATAGTTCATAGTTGCATTAATCTGTTTCATCTTGTTTCATTTTATCTTAAGAACTGTGTAGTCATCAATGCCTGATGCCTCTAGTCTTTTCTGTTCTACATGTAAAGGTATATAGCTTTTTAGGTCAGCCATGGTATCGGATCGGTATCAGGTTATCAGCTGATACTCAAAGCCACAGCATCGGGATCGGTATGGAAACTGAAAAAGCTGGATCGGTGCACATTCATCTGTGTGTGTGTGAGTGTGTGTGTCTCTGTGTATGTAGGTGAACACACACAAGCTCAGGAAAAAAAAATAAAAATTTCAACACCAACTGGTATGACAACACATGATTTCCCAGCGGCCCACACACTAAAGCCAGATGCCACAGAAACAGAGACAAAAACAAACTATAAGGGAGACACAGGAGTGCTGTGACAACTCTGGCTCTGATACAGCTAACTTTGGCACTGCGATCACTGTTTACTTCACAACCTACACCAGATTTCTGATGCACATTCACAAGCTGGTGCTGATTTCTTCCAAATGTGCATTTAGGAGCCCTTTTAGATGGTGTGCACACTCAATAAATGGGCAATGCAAAAAGGGGCTTTCTAGTGGATTGCCTTCAAAAAGAGTTTGTGTCAGAACAGTCAGATGACACTGTCTGATCCTTTTTCACATGATCTGAGAAGATGTTTTCATTACCATCTAAATAGAGTTCACAGAACCAGCAGATATCGCTCAAACATTAAATCCCTTCTTAATGAACGCTGAGATGTTGGAGGTTGTGGAAGCACCACGGTCCACAAATTCTTCCTAAAAAAGTTTGTTCAAAGACTCTTGCTATGTGCAAATTTGTTTTAACTTACAACCAAACATCTGACGCCTTTTTCTGAAATCCAAGTCCGTGTCTTGAAGCTTCTTCTGTGTTAGACATCTGTGGAAGTGCTGTCAAATTTCACAGTCATTTATGGAAGCATTCTTAAAGGAAGTAATGCCACTGGCTGTCGAACAAAAAGACTACCCATTACCTTTTAAGTGCACTTGAAACCCCAAGAAAAAGATGCTTGTCTTGAAGCTTAGCATTTACATGAGCAGTAACATGGATTTGCTTTCATTTCTGATGCCTCTCCTCTGCACAAATTTGCATCTTAGTATCAGATATAATGTGGTTACATCTGGTAAAAGCCCCTCTCTATTCACTATATTCCTTAGGTAATTGTACGTTAGCATCAGTCTTAGTGTCAAAAATGGTGAATGATGAAGTCTTTGGAAAATCGAAAGCAGCTATTTGATTGGCATGTGTCTGAAAATCCAGACAGATGACACCTCTGCCTGGTGTTTGTTTGTAAAAATCTAAGCAAGTTCTACAAACCGTGAAAGTCGCAGCCTTTTCTGTCTGGGTATTGTGCTACAATTTCCCAACTCCTCGGGCCACATTTACTCAATACTTTTCATTTTAAAATAGCTTTTTTTAAAAGGAAAACGATCTCCGTACACACAAGAGTTTTAGTACAGTTTCAGAAATAATCTCCGTCCATACTAGCATGCCTGAAAAGGCATATTTCATGACCATTTATGTACACTGGGCATACACGTGCCGATGTAAACAGAAATTGTCTATTCTCCAGTTGGTTGCTTGGTTGAAAGTAACACATGAATATAAGGAGGTCAAGGCTGAAGAAAACAGAGTCGTTGAAAAGCAAATATGGTGACACATCTGAGTGCTACTGGGCGTATTGTCCATCGCTTGAGGAAGCCATGGCGATGGGAAAGAAGTACACACACATTTAGGATAAAAATCACAAAAGGTATGTAGGCTTAGCTATAATGCTTCGGCTTGATGGTTGTTGACTGATAAGACCAAATCAGGAGGGAAACAGTTGCCAAAAGTCCAAGTTTTCGCCTGTCCAATCAATAGGCAGCACAATAACAACAGATGACATGACAGCTCCCCAAAAGTGAAGCCAAAACATTTCAATCACTCCCTGGTGGCTGGCTCCAGTATAGGTCATGAAGCCCATCTCTTCAATGTTAACAGATGGGACATGGGCCAAACCAAAAGCTCAAAGTACAACTCAAATAAGTTTTTCCAAAGACTGCTCCTGTTGGTTTAGGTAGCTCTTACCATGCTGCTCTAAGTTCAAGTGTTCACTTTTCTGACAAGTCTAGTCTTTATTTGTTAATTGACGCTACATAGTGGTTGGACAGGTGTTTGGGCGGGAACCCGATACTGCAGAGATCGCTACTGCGCAGACTCTGGCTCCAAATGACATGGTGACTACCATATCTGGGATATTTTGTCTTTTGACCGTGGGAGTAACTGGAGACACGTCGTCCAGCTTTATAAACAGTCTTTGGTCCGAATTAAAATGCAACCATAGAGTTTTAGAACTAAAACAGGGTCAGCAGCGTTTTCAAAGGTCTCTATTTTAGGGGTTCCAAAATGCTGACGTAGTATGAATGCTTGGCGTAAAGGTCACAAAAGTTATGCATTTTTGTGTGGATTAAGTTTCAGTGAGCCTGATATCGCAAATAGTTGATAACCTTGAGTGCCTCTTCAAAACACAATCTTAAGAGACCCCATAAAGGTTCCTTGTGGAACTCCAAAGCGCTCACAAACTCTGACAGTCCCTCCAAGAACCTTCAGTTGAATTTACTTGTATTTAGATGTGCTATATAAATAAAAGTGCCTTCTTCTCAAGCTCTACAAAGACTTGTAGTGATAACCTTTTGACATTTGCTTTCTTTGGTTCTCTTTGGATCTCTGGAAGGTTTTTAGTTTTAAGAGTATGGAATATCCTGTTTCAAATTAGATAAATGCCCCATGGTCTCCAATACATGCCTGTATACATACCTGTAAAAACAAGCTAATTTGTATATGACTACAAGTATTGTAAGGAGCTTGACAGATATGTAGGCGAAAAAGGGTAAGGTGAATGAGGTCAAAAGTTCACAGGTAAAAGGACATGGAAAGTCAAAGGTAAAGAAAGGTTGAGAAAAC